TTTTTTTTATTGAAAATATTTTTTAACCTAACTGTTACCTTTTTAATAGGTAATCCATTATGAATGGATTTTTGAACTCAAGTGAAAACTACCATCAATTTTTACTTCACTTCACACGAGGTATATATATAGAATTTATTCGGCAAAACTAACTGTTTTGGTAGTTATTAGCTGTTAGTTGTTTTAGTAGCGTGTAGCTGTTAGCTATTTTAGAATATTTACACTAAAAATTACATGTTATAGTATTCAACATTTTATAAAATGCTATCTTATTATTTAAAAACTAGTTCTAACACTATAAAAAATAACGTTCAGTGTTTTGACAAAACTACTTAAAAAACTGTTTCCCAACACAACAACAGCAGTAGATAATTCTCTAATAAATTTATATTTAATAGGTCATATAAGATATACAAATGAATTTAAAAAAAAAACAAAATTAAAAAACACAAGATTACTTTATAACTTCAAAAATCCATTTATAACACCGATTAAACAAAAGTAACATAACGAGAAAGGTGAAACGATTAAACAAAAGTAACATAACGAGAAAGGTGAAAAACTTAATGAATCCAATCCCACATCGAGCAAATGCGAAAAACAATTATTCTTTATAGTAAACATTCGAGACAAACAGCACCGCCGAGTCCAGTAGCGTGGGCTTGTGACCCAAGTGGGGGCATGAAATTGATGGGACAATGATTCAGCGCCAGCGGGTTGGGTTCGTTAGGCTAAGTTCTGGCCTGCCCGTTCCAAGCTGAGAGTTGGCTCCTGTGGCTCAAGCGAAGGCTTTGAACTACATGAACCGTAGAGTGGAGGGCACCGCGTCAGGCTGGTTTCACAGAGCAGCGACCACCTCCCGCTCCTGGCAGTGGAAGGATAACAGGCCGGTGCCACTCGGATCCGCAGTGGAAGGATAACAGGCCGGTGCCACTCGGATCCGTATGGCCCAATGGGCTGATGAAATTGGACCATCATTTTTTTTTTAATTTTTAGTATTAGATTTTATTGTTTAAAACTTAGCCATTGGATAGTAGAATAAAAGAGGTAAAATTCAGTTGCACATGTTCATATAATGAAAATTGAATTTTGTTTTCTTTGTATATGTATCTATCTATTTATATTTATTAGTCTTTTTTTAATGACCACACGGTAACAATACTCATTATCTTTTAATTTTTTATATATTAAAGTATAAGTTTTTATTTAGATAAAAATAAATACAATTGATTAATTTATATTAGATTTTGCCGTATGAGCTATTTGCATTGTTATTTCTTATGTATTTAATTCTATTTTTAAAAAATAAAGTGGTCTCAAAAATATATAGTTTTAATTTTTTTTTAATTTCATAAATAATATTTTCATTCAAGTCAAACAGATTTAGGATAAACGAAAAAATATCAAGAATATTAAAAATGGTTAGTCAAGAGGCCATCTATTTATTGCAAGGGAGATATAAATCTTTTTTTTTTTTTTTATCTCAAATCGAACTAAAATGATACAGTTTTGTAAAACGGTTTGATCAAGTTTAAATAACATAACATATTAATACTGTTAAAGTTGATATAAAAATTATTAAACATACAAACAAAATGATATAAACTCTTGAACTTTAATGCACTTCAAAATTCTCTTTCCTCCACTTGTATATATTGCATTGGTTACTAATGTAAATAAAATATTTTTATATATCACAATTCATATAACTTTTGTTTACTATATTATACTACTCTCACATTTTAGAGAAAACATAAAATATTCTAGGATTAAGAAAGTAGTTAAACAGAAATATTTACCCATTTTTTGGCTATAATACTCCTAATCAATCTTAAATACATAATTAATGGTGAAGAAATCAACTCATTAATAGAGTATTTTAAATGTGAATTTATTAGCCAAAATCTTTGAGAATTGTGAGAGTCTCTTCAACTTCAAAATTAATAGATTTACATCGTTTTTGAAAATAGGACACTAGTAAGAAGAAAATTATTCTTAGACATCACGAAATAGACCACAATTGTCAGACATATGCTATCATTTTGCTAAAGTTTGTTCTGCCATTGAATGAATCAATAGATATGAGAACTTAAAAGTAAAATTTTGTGTACATATTAGTAAGAGTTAATTCATATAAAGGAAATTTTTTTAAAAGTAGAGTGTAATAATAAAAATCTGTGACTATTTTATGTTAATCTCCCAAGAAAAATACTCGGTGCTTCATGCATAAATTATTGCACACTTCTTGGAAATTGAATACAAATTTAGTTAATTATTGCACACTTCAACAAGTATTGCACACTTCTTTCGGCCATGTCTATGTCACCGGTAAGATCTGGATCTGCCCCTTTTGTTTCCAGCGCAATCATTTCCCTCCTCGCTGTGCTATGATCTCTGAGACTAATATCCCTACTGAGCTTTATCCTTAGTATACAATGGTGCAGTACACGCTTCCAAAACCTTTGCTAGTTTACAGTAGAGAACTTCTAAGAATATGTGGGTTGTTTGATGTTATAGTCCAATCACGATTTTAGCAAATTTCGGGTAAATTATAAATTTAGTTCTGAACTTTTGAATTTTTACTATTTTGGTGTCTGAATGGAAAATACTTGCAATCTGAGTGATTAAACTTTTTAAAATTTACAATTGAGTGTCATTTGTTGACATGGATGCCAGAAAGCTAACAAATACCAATTTGGTCCCACGTTTGCTGAGTTAGTTGCATACATAGACATAGGCATGGCCATCGGTTCGGTTTTAACCGAAATCGAATCGTACTGTAAATTAACTAGAACCGGATTCAAATCGACGATTTAAAGGTTTGAACCGAATGCACAAATAAAATTATTTGTAGCTTAAAATTTTTTATAAAAAAATTTATATCACTTGATTTGATTGTAGTTGATCCGATTTATGGTGAAGAGAAGTACACAATGATATATAATTTATAAAAAGTGATGAAAAAAGTACACATGATTTGATTTAATTTGTGCAAAAAATGGTACATGAATAGTTGAGTTGTAAAAAAAAATAATTTTATGTGTACAAAAAAAAGGTACAAACGGCTAGCTGAGATCTTGAGATGACTTTTAATTTTTTTATTTTTGGTAAATAAATTTTATTTTTAATTTTATTTTTTGGTAAATAAATTTTATTCATTTTTAATCAATTTATTTTTTATTATTATTTACTAAATTATCAAAAAATATAGTTGTTACTTTTCTATAATAATGAGGACAATTTGGAAAAACTTAAACAATTTGGGAAACTAATAAATGAAAAATATGTATAAAAATATGTATAAATATGATGAGTTGATGATTTTTTTTCACAACCAATTATATTTTAACTCTCCTTTTATTCTCAATCAAAATTCTCTCAAATGTACATAGTTCATTATTTTTTCTATCGCTTTATTTTTCTTAATATTGAATTATCTTGTGTTTATTTTTTATTTTTTATTTTTTATTTTCATACATCCGATTCTCAATTCCTTCTAATCTCAATTTTTCCATTCATAAAATGTTAAATAAGTCTTATGTATATAAAGATATTCTTTCTTCATTTATGCAATTGCATGCATCACATTTTCAACTTTATTCAACCAATTAGACTATTTGTAAAAAAATATTAGATATTTTGCAAGTTTTTAAAAATTGTACAAAAATTTTTAATGGTGTTTATTATCCTACTTCCCATTTATTTCCATTTCATTGTTTAGCCATAAGTGGTGTCATAATTGAAAATGAAAATGATGATGATTTACAAGAATGTATATTCATGATGAAAACTAAATGGTTAAAATATTATACTGAAATTTTTATACTGAAATTCTGACTTTCAAATTTAGTTGTATTTTTCTTTGTCCTAGATTTAAGGTTAGTTGCATTACAAAATTTTTTTCGTTTTTATATGGAATTCTTTTATATCGAAGTAGATTATTTTTCTCTTATTATAATGTTTAAGGTATATCCGTTTTTAAGGTATATCCGTCAATTGTATGATGAGTATTCTAAATTAGTATCTCCCGTTCCTCAAGTATCACATCCACAAACTACACAATCCACTAAATTTTATTCTACACAATTTACTTTCATGCAAAATGTTTCAAAAAAATTAAGGGAAGGTCCACATTCATACACAGAAATTGAGACATGTATTAGCATAGATTTTGAGTTTTTAGGTGATGATGCGGATGAAAACCCAACAAAATTTAATATTTTGGATTGGTGGAAAAAGCATGCAAATCGCTTTCTAGTCTTAGCTTCAATTGAAAAAGATATTCTTGCTTATCTAATTTCTACTGTTGCAGTGGAACAAGTTTTTAGTGTGGGTGGACAAATTTTAGATCCAACACAATCAAGATTATCGCCAAATAATGTGGAAATGCAAGAATGTGTTCACGATTGGACTAAAGTGGCATTGAGAACTCAAAACCAACAAAATTCAAGCGATGATGATTATTCTGGCTCATTAACAGGGACTAGTGGCACTGATGACTAAAATTAATTGTAATAATTGTGAGGTTATTTTCCATTGTAATAAAAAAAAGAACTACGTGGGCTTTGATTTTCTCTAATTCCCAAGATGATACGTAGACAATTTTTCAATTTTAACTTAATTCAAGCCCAAAATAAAAAAAAAAACTATAATTTTCTATATTAGTGAGTTAGCAAAATTTGTAAATTTAATGTTACGATAGTTCTAAGTTAATAGAAGTTTTTCTTTTAAAATTTTATAATAATTTATTTAGTTAATAAAATCTAAACATTTTAAAATAACATTTAAGTTAATAAAATCTAAACATTTTAAAATTATTATTTATTTATGAATTTGAAATCAAAAATTTATTATTTTTTTTAAAATTTGTGTAATACTAAAACTGAATCGAAACTGTAATTTGAACCGTTAGTTCATCGGAACCATGCCAAAATCATGTCGAAATTAAAACCGGACTAAAATCAAAAGTTTAAGGGTCAATTTCGTTTTAAAATTTTAAATATCTTGAACCGGTCACGTTGACAGGCAGCAAATCAATTGTATGGACAAATAATTGAGCAACATGGCAAAAACAATGAAATGACTTTGTCACCCTTAATCTAATGCGTTTAGAGAAGAAGCCTCTCTTACGCAGATGGCTTAACCTCCGTCGCAAACCATCATTACCACCAACATCAGCATCACTGGATCCCAGTGCCTACATGAACCGCTACTTTTGCCCGCCACCACCGCCTCATCTTTTAAATCCGCTCTTTCTTTATCATTTATCCTTCTCTTTTCTCTTTACTCTCTTCTCCCTCTCCCTCTCCTTCAATCCTCCTTTCTTTCTCTCTCTTCCCTTTCGCTTTCCTAATATATTTCTCTCTGCTTTTTTTTCTAGTCTCAAAAGCCTTAAACATCGAAAATCAAATTCTAAAAAATAACAATCCATAAATTTCTCTTAAATACCACAATCCAATTCTCCTAAAAAAATTTATAGAAAACCAAAAAAAGAATTAAAATAAATTAACCATTTGTATATAAATTATTATAGCTCCGTCCTCTTGGTCTTGCTTGTGATAGTAACCATTATCTTCCTCCTCCAGGCCATGGCCACCGTTGCTGCTGACTTGTGTGAGGCAACATACTGTATGCCAGGGCAACAATGAAAGGAAATTATTGACCGAAATAAAAGCCACAGAAAATTATCGACTCAAATGAATCATGGGGTCACTACCTAATCAGTAACGGCCATATATTAAACCAAAAGAAAAAATACGTTTTCCAAAAGATAAAAAGGAAGATGATATACCTTAAAATAGTCAAGTTTGAGCAATAAGTCCACGACTTTAGGAGAAAGAATCTCACAATTTAAGAGGATTTTATTCAAGATAGAGGATTTAAGAGAATTGAAGCTGTATTTGATAAACGCAAGGTCCTCGAGCTGATTTAGGCTTCTTGATCTACAAACGAAAAATGCACCAAAATGGGTTTGAATAATACGGGCAATCACATCTCTAAGAGAATAGAAAGGACAACAATGATTATTCAAAGCGAAAAGAACTAGAAAAATGGTAAAGAAGCGATACAAAAACATTAATTCATTGAAGAAGAGAAGAAAGAACAAATTGGATTTCCCATTCATCACCTAGCTATTTAAAATATAGATTTTGTGGCTGAAAATGCAAGTTTTGGCGATGATTTTATATGTGGAGTGTAGAGATTCAGCAGTTGTTGGTGAAGGAGAGGAAAATTTTGCTGGTGAAGAAGAGAAGCATAAAGATTTGGTGGAGAGAAATTAGGACAATAATGTGAATCCGTAGAGTTTGCCAAGTCAGATTTAGTTTTTTCATAGTCAGCAATTTGGTGTCATTCCACTTAGGCTAGTGACTGGACAAATGTGGGTCCTACTTGTGATGGGTCAGTTTTTTGACACCTACATCAACAAATGACACTTGATTGTATTTTTTTAAAAATTTGCACTCAATTGCACATATTTTTTGTTCAAAAACTAAAATAATTAAAAATTGAAAGTTGAGACACTAAATTTATTATTTATCCAAAATTTTCTCACTAGTTTATAGTATGCCATTACATTAAGGTGGGGCCTTATTGTTTTACTGGATGCCATGTTTACTAGATGTGATGGAACTTACAGTTTTCTTATCTTCTTTTCCTATATTGCAGGTCATGAGTTAGATTCATTTATATTGTTTGGATCATAGAGTTTTGCATTTTGCTTTTCTTTTTTCATTCGTTTATGGCTTCATTAGTCAAAGCTGAATCATCACATTTTAATATATAAAGTAGGTCTCATGTGTCCTATTTGTATTTCTGTATGTTATGTAAGAAAGTAACACCGATTTCAAAGGCTTGATGAACCACATGAATCGTAGAGTTGAGGGCACCGCGTCAGGCTGGTTTCACAGAGCAGCGACCACCTCCCGCTCCTGGCAGTGGAAGGATAACAGGCCGGTGTCACTTGGATCCGTATGGCCCAATGGGCTGATCTAATTGGACCATCAATTTTTAGTATTAGATTTTGTTGTTATAAAACGTAGCCATTGGATAGTAGAGTGAAAGAGAAGCCACCTAACTATATAGGTAAAAAAAACTCTTACTTAGTTTAAAAATAAAAATATTGCTTAATTGCTATTAAATATTTATTTATTAACCCAAAATCAATTTCATCAATTTTATTTTCTGAAAGCCTACTTTTATTTGTATAGGAAAATTCAAAACACATGTATTATGCAATATAAATTTTTATATCAAAACATGTATATGCATATAATATTATAAATGTTATATTAAACATTCTTGTTTTTTCGCAATGAATATTAATATTAATGGTTATTTTCATTATTGTTAAATATATATTAATATTTCATTATTAGCTATTGAGCCCTTGTAAAGCAATTGTGTCACTGTTATTAATTTTAATATTTTAATTTATTTATAATATTATAATATATATTTAAGAAGTAGCGGACGTAATTAAATTTTTTTTACTTACGAGAATGTGATTAAAATTATTAAAATAAATAAAATTTAATTTATAAAAAATATTTTTAACAGTTTAAGAAAATATTTATCGAAAATGAAATTGAAAAAAATATATAATTAAAAAAAATGATATGTATTTCTTTAACAGTAATTTAAAAAGACGTTTTTTTCTACCAAAAGAAGAAAAAATGAAATTTGTAAAGAATAAAAAAAAAAACCTTATATAATTAGTGATATGTACTTGCTATACTAAAGGTAGGATGTCAAATGGCATAAAATTATAGTTTCTCTATCCATTAAGAACTTTTTAAATATGTATTGTAGTAACCGCCCACAACTAAATTAATAAAAGAGAATATTAATTTAATATGTTTGATTTGGTAAAAGCTTTTTCTTAATTATAATTTGAAACTAAAATTTAATATATATTTATGTTTAAAGGCTGAAAATAAATAAAGTGAAATCAACCAATTCTATTTTGCAGTTTATACTTTCAATTTAACTGCTCTGCATTTTGTAGTTTCCTTGCCAATGGTGGGTCAGGGCAAAAGATGAAATGTAAGTCAAGCAATTATGAGTTCGTGGCAGAAGAAGACTATTTTTCAAACTATTATTATTATTATTATTATTATTATTATTATTATTATTATATTTTAAATTTAATTTTTAAACAATTAAATAATTGTTATTTATTTATTATATCAATTAAGAACTATACTTAAAAATAATATATTGTTCCGACATTAATTGAAGTTATTGGTAAAATTCAGTTGCACATATTCATATAATGAAAGTTAAATTTTGTTTTCTTTGCATATGTATCTATCTATTTATATTTATTAGTATTTTTTTTATGACCACACGCTAACAATACTCATTATCTTTTAATTTTTTATCTACATAATATTAAAGCATAATTTTTATTTAGATAAAAATAAATACAATTGGTTAATTTGTATTAGACTTTGCCGTAGGAGCTACTTGCAATGTTATTTCTTATGTACTTAAAAAATAAAGTGGTCTCAAAATAAAATTTAATTTAATCCTATGCCTAATCCTTCAATCCTTAATTTATAAATGCAGATTCTTAAACCTTGATAGGTTCCAAAAAAGAAAATCAAGTTATCACTCAATCCCCAACCATTTGCCATCAATCTTAAATCAATATCTATATACGACCATAATGAAAAATAATAATAAATTATGTTTTACTGCTAGGTAAAAAAAATAAATGAGAAGATGATATGAATCAATAATGATAATCATTTTGGCAATAATAATAGTATTACTTACCCAGTGCATTAGAGAAAGGAATATATGAACACACACAAATTCTTGAAACCCAAAAAATGACCCAAAATAAAAATACATAGTTTTAGTTTTCTTTTCAATTTCATAAATACTATTTTTGTTCAAGTCAAACAGATTTAGGATATGAACGAAAAAATATCAAGAAAATTAAAAATGCTTAGTCAAGAGGCCATCTAACTGTTTTGGTAGTTATTAGCTATTAGTTGTTTTAATAGCAGTTAGTTATTTTAAAGTAGAAAAACACTAAAAATTACATGTTATAGTATTTAACATTTTATAAAACGCTATCTTATTCTTTAAAAATTAGTTCTAATATTTAAAAAATAATGTTCAGTGTTTTGACAAAACTACTTAAAAAACTGTTTCCCAACACAGCAACAGCGATAGATAATTTTCTAATAAATTTATATTTAATAGGTCATATAAGATACACAAATTAATTTAAAAAAAAACAAAATTAAAAAACACAAGATTACTTTATAACTTCAAAAATCCATTTATAACACCGATTAAACAAAAGTAACACAACGAGAAAGATGAAAAACTTAATGAATCCAATCCCACATCGAGCAGAAGCTAAAAACAATTGTCCTTTATATTATACATTTGAGGCGAGCTGCACCGCCGAGTCCAGTAACGTGGGCTTGTGACCTTAGTGGGGCATGAAATTGATGGGACATTAATTTAGCACCAGCGGGTTGGATTCATTTGGCTAACCTCTGGCCTGCCCGTTCCAAGCTGAGAGTTGACTCCTGTGGCTCAAGCGAAGGCTTGAACTACAGGAATCGTGGAGTGGAGGACACCGCGTCAGGCTGGTTTCACAGAGCAGCGACCACCTCCCGCTCCTGGCAGTGGAAGGATAACAGGCCGGTGCCACTTGGATCCGTATGGCCCCATGGGCTGATCTAATTGGACCACCATTTTTTTTTTAATTTTTAGTATTAGATTTTATTGTTTAAAACTTAGCCATTGGATAGTAGAATAAAAGAGGTAAAATTCAGTTGCACATGTTCATATAATGAAAATTAAAATTTGTTTTCTTTGCATATGTATCTATCTATTTATATTTATCAGTCTTTTTTTAATGACCACACAGTAACAATACTCATTGTCTTTTAATTTTTTATCTACATAATATTAAAGCATAAGTTTTTATTTAAATAAAAATAAAAATAATTAGTTAATTTGTATTAAACTTTGCCGTATGAGCTACTTGTAATGTTATTTTTTATGTACTTAATTCTACTTTTAAAAAATAAAGTGGTCTAAAAAATATATAGTTTTAATTTTGTTTTAATTTCATAAATACTATTTTCGTTCAAGTCAAACAGATTTAGGATATAAATGAAAAAATATCAAGAAAATTAAAAATAGTTAATCAAGATGCTATCTAGTTATTGTAAGAGAGATACGAATCTCTTACTAAATTAAAGTGATAGTGATTACAAATTAATTCAATAATGAAAAATAAAATAAAAATTATTATTATGAATAAAACTCATTTAAGAACTCAACGTATAACAAGAAATAAATTATATTAAAAAAATAATCAATTTGGATTTCAAAAATAACTCTAGAAAGACTATAATTTAATGAAATTTAATGTTGATGGACAAAAATAAAATAAAATAAAGCCAAGTCAATAAATGAAAATGACAAAACAAAATCATGCTAGGATTCAATAGATGGTCGGTTAATGAGTTTATTAGAGTATTTTATTTCTATATTATTTTAAGTTGTAAATTTAAAATAAATAAATAAATAAGTTAATTAAGTAGTAAAGAAAAGATTACATAAAAGAAACGTTATATTCTCTCCAAATAAACCCTGAATTTTCTCTATAATCATACAGAAAGAAAAAGAATATATATTTTTATTTTTTATATCTCTCTCCTAAATAAAATATTACGTATATTTATTTTTTAAAAAGTATATCCAATCAAATCATATAAACACAAAAAAGTATACTTTTTTCTTTTTTTACCTCCTTCCTAAATAAAATTATTTTAAATTATAATCAAAATAGAATCAAATATTTAAAAAATTATGATATATATTTATTAAAAAATAAATTGATATATATTTATTAAAAAATAAATTTAGGAAAGAAAATCTTAAAATCTTGAAATGCCTAAATGTCTATATGTATTTATTTAAAAAATAATTTTTATAAATATATCCAATCAACTAATAAAATATAATAATTCAATTGGCTTATGACTAATGTTAGTTTAGAACATTTAAATTTCGTTAAGTACGATATAAGAAATTTCATTATTTTTCCATTTACTCACATTTATATATAGTATAAATATAAAATATATAATAGCTAAATCAAATCCCAACGTGCCGCAATATAAGAAAATTGAAGTTGCATTTTTCAGATTGAGAAAGTGGAACTGCCGTTTTGAATTGGCAAGGAAAATATCGTCTTTAAAATCTGAGTCGTCGATAATGGATAACACAAAATTGATCATTGAGTTGTGGTATAAATGATAACTGACCAACAGTTAAGGAATTGGAAAACTGTACAAATTTTTCAAACATTTGCTACACATATCTCAGAAGTGCAGGTATACATGGTCTGGTTTAGGACGGTTTGAAGGAACTTTCAAACCAAAATGATAATTAGGGTTTATAAATTTTTCAAGCTGATATTAAACTGTTTTTTTTTTATTAGCCAAAATCTTTGAAGATTGTAGGAGTCTCTTCAACTTCAAAAGTAGTAGATTTACATTGTTTTTAAAAATAGGACACTAGTAAAAAGAAAATTATTCGTAGACATCATGATATAGACCACAATTGTCAGACACATGTTATCATTTTGCTAAAATTTGTTTTGCCATTGAATGAATCAATAGATATGAGAACTTAAAAGCAAACTTTTGCGTTCATGTTAGTAAGAGTTAATTCACATAAAAGAATTTTTTTTTTTTTAAAGTAGAGTGTAACAATATAAATCTGTGACTATTTTATGTTAATCTCCTAAGAAAAATACTCGTGCTTGGTGCGTAAATTATGCACACTTCTTGGAAATTGAATACAAATTTAGTCAACAAGTGTTACAATTAAGTTTGTTGGAAAAATTTTAAATTTGTGCTCAAATTAAAAATATAATATGGATGTAAAGACTTTTTTATGAATAGCGCGCAACAATTAAAATGTGTAACCATATTAGGATACCTGACTAATGTATTACATTTATTCATGCTCAAATCTGTAAAATCGAGCATATTTCTACCAAACTGCTCATAAACGTAGCAGTTACTCATGCATGCTTTCAAAACATAATATCAGTAATTGTCCAATCTATTTTTTGTTTGCCACTATGCTCAATTAATTGAGCTGGGAATAAAAGCAGCAACATAGTTTATTCAAGGGAATTTTAGACTTTTCCTTTTGCATCCTTCCCAAAATTTCCATTTAGGGTAAAATTCTGTACATACCACAAACACCCTAAATGAAAATTTTCTCTAAAGTAAAAGATCAGAGGGAGTATATAATTATATGATTATGGTTTGGTTTGTATTATTGAAATCAAAAATTGAAACTCAGCTGTCAATCATTTTTTTCAAAATTTATAAACCTACCTATTTTTTTTTTAGCAACCAAACTAAATTAAATTGGCTAATTTGATTTGGTCCGATTTAATTTGGCAGTTTTACATTGAATAATGATTACCCCCACTATTGATGCCTCTAGGGTTCTCTCCAATACTTTTAGGAAGGTCAACATTTTTTTTATTAGGATGCATCTTTCTTTTATTTTTCTATGAATATCATTATATTTTTTTTCTATACTCCCTCCCTTATCCTATATTTAAAGGTTTAGTTTGACTTTCACATAGATTAAAGAAAACTACTTAATATAGTTATACTATATTTTTTGGTTAGTAATTTTCTAACATACTTACCTATTAATATTAAATGATGTAATACAATTATTTAAAAATATAAATGTACATTAAACAAGAGTATATTAAAAAATTAAACAATAAATAATTTTTTTAAAAAATATAACTATATTTTGAGACAAATAAAAAAAAGTCAGTCTATATACATATGAGATGGAGATAGTATAAGATTAATTTGGTTTTGAGGGTTGTAATTGCCTCTTTCTATGTGTTTTTTTTCTACATCTCAAGTCCCGTGATACATATATACTCATTTTGTCTCAAAATACAAGTTGTTTAAGGTTAAAATAGTGATAAATTTAGTGTCTCAACTTTACGTTTTTTTTTTCTATTTTAGTGTCTTGACGGAAACATTTACAATTGGGTGTGTTTACCGGTGAAAATGTTCAATTAGGTTGTGGCCATTTTTAAACATCGAAAAGCTGACTCAGCAGTTGCGGGATCTATTTTTAATAGGTGGCAGGTCATGTGTAATGAAGTGGAATCACTTTAAATCCACCTCAGCCCTTGTATTATGCGTACTTTGTAATGATTTTCAAAAGATTAAAGAAGAAAATGAAAGAAGAGAATGGAAGAATGGAATCAACACAACAAAGATGAATACATATCTTGAAAAAAAAAAAAAACTTTCTTCCTAAAATTTGAATTTCGTTTTTACAAAAACTCAAATGAGTTCTTTTCCTTCGAATTGTTTGATTTGTATTTAATTACATCATTAATACTCGTTATCAGAAATGGAAGAATGGAAGAGAAAAAAAAATTATAGATTGAAATTCCTTTACATAAGGGGCAATTTACAATGTCATATACAAAATCATTAGGATAATATAAGAAATTTGCAGATTCAAAACCCAACAAACTAATATTCATTTAGCAACACAGAAACATATTTATTCATCTCTGCGTTCAATATCATCATTTATCATTTTTACCACTTACAGATGGAACCGATTTAATCATCTACCATCATACTGATTCATCTCTGCATTTTCCTTAATTCAATTTTCTTCTGATCATCATCTGCATTTTTCTTGATTCAATTTCCTTCACTGGAATCTTGCCCTAATTTTGTAATGAGATCATGTTCTATCAAGCTGAGGAGCTAAACCATTAAAAATATCTCAAACTTTACAGGTAAATTCAACTTTCTTTTCATAGTACCCTGAATTTCAATTTTAGTTATAATAGCATCATAATTTCAAATTGTATCCAATTTAATGAATAAAATATTATACTCTCTTGTATGGTAGGTTAACTAAAAATTTACTGTTTAACAATGCTCTGGCTAATATTGGTTAAGAATTTAAATTCATAAAAAGTCAAGTAAAATAATAAATTTTAGTTAGTTATAAACATAAAATATTAGTTTAGGTTTTTGTTTTGCAATTTTTTAAGCATAAAATTTTATTTATACTCAATCTTAGTTTTGGTTATTTGTTTTGCAATTTTTTAAAGGCATAAAATTTTATTTATACTCAGGTAAATCTCTTATAAAAATAAGTATACTCAGGTTAAATCTCTTATAAAAATAAGTTTTATTTATTACGACATCATTTTATTTTTCAAGAATTATTACTTGTTGTCAATATTATAAAAAAAAGTATTTCATTTTTAAGATGAATAGATTATTTTTTATTTTAATATTTCTATAAATATATATATTTATTTATAAGCGGTGGTGGGAAGAAATCTAATTTGAAAAAAAGGTTAAACTAGGTCTCATAAATAATATTCTATTCATTAAATTGGGTATAATTTGAAATTAGGGTGCTATTGTAACTAAAATTAAAATTCAAGATTCTAGGAGAAGAAAGTTGGATTTAGGCTCCGTTTGTTTCCGAAAAATAACTTACCTTTGGAAAATATTTTCTAAATGACTTATTTTCCCTTATTTGGTTGCACTGTTAAAAATTATTTAAAAATATTAAATTTTTTAAATAACAATAACAATAACAACAACAACAACAATAATAATAATATAAATTGCATATTTTAATAATTTTATTTTTAAATATGAGAATAAAGCAAAAAAAGGGTAAATTATGAAAGTCGCCGGTGGCCGGTGGTGGTAGTTAGTGGTGAATGGTGAGTAGTGTTAGTGGTTATCGATGATTAATAAATTAAAAAAAATATTTATAAGGTTATAATAAGTTTGTCAAAGTCCGGAAAATGTTTTACGCTCTTGAAAATGAGAAGTCATTTTCTTTAAAAATGACTTAATGTTTCTTTGACCAGAAAAATATATTTTTCATTGACTTATTTTTCTAAATGCCACAAACAACAGAAAATTATAAAAAATATTTTCTTACAATTCATTTTACATAAACCAATGGAGTTTTAGGATATAATTAAAATTACCCGCAAAATTTAGAGTATTTTTAACGATTAGTCGCTAAACAGTTTTGGTTTGGGAATATAAGAGATGGGGTTAATGGTCCTTTGAAAAGATGAAATAACTTTTTTCTTTAGATGGGTCTTTGGGAGCATTAAATTAGGGGTAAAGGCGAAGTACACGCATAATACAAGGGCTGAGGTGGATTAAAAAAATTCCACTTTATTACACATGGCCTGCCACCTATTAAAAATAGGCTCCACGACTGCTGAGTCAGTTTTTTGGTGTTTAAAAATGGACACAGCCACTTAATTGAATATTTTCACAAGTAAATACAACCAATTGCAAATGTTCTCCAGCAAGACACTAAAATAAAAAAAAACATAAAGTTGAGATATCAAATTTATCATTATCCCTCTAAAGATTTTTACACAAAAATTAAGGAAGCAATTAATGCTTCTAAATTATAAGAAAACTAAGAATGATTTGACCAAATTATCATGTATCTCAACACCAAACCGACTTATATTTTAGGATAAAATAATCATATAAAAATAACTTATATTTTGTACGGAGAGAGTATTGTTTATTGAAATTCTCTTATCGATATTGAATGACAACATTTTGTAATTAAGAAGTACGCAATTCCTGACTTGGAACTCAAAATGTCTCTGGTAAGCCACATGTTAAACAAGCCAAATTCAGTTAATAAGAAATGCAAGTGGGTATACCACCATACTAATGGACAGAGCATAGTCATCTAACACTACCTTTCCCATTCTTAATATTTTATAATTGTTGGGCACATGACTTCCCATATGGGCATTTCCACTAATTCCCATTTCACACTATATCTGTTCATAGTCCAATCTATATATAAACTCAATTTGCAGATTTAGTTGTCACTGCAAAATAATTCTTCCTTTATGGAAACCATTTGTCACCCTTTTCACTTTCTTCTGGTTTTGTGTTTTTTGTTCTCTTCACATATAAAGATCTGTTTGGGCGATGAAGTTCAATGCATCGACAAAGAGAGAGAAGCTCTTGTTGTGTTCAAACAAGGCCTTACTGATCCTTTTGGTAGACTTTCCTCTTGGGAGGGAAAAGATTGCTGCAAATGGAATGGAATCAAATGCAATAATCAAACTGGTCATGTCATCAATCTCGACCTTCGAAATCCTTATACGTTAATCAATGGAGGAGTTGGTGACCAAGAAATTTATGAGAAGTCTTGTTTGGGTGGTAAGATTAGTTCTTCTGTACTCGAGTTACAATACTTAAGGTATTTAGATATAAGCTTTAATAATTTCAAAGGTGCTCAAATTCCTGAATTCTTGGGAGAATTAGAAAATTTGAGATACCTTAACCTCTCTTTCTCATCATTTTCTGGACTCATTCCATCTCAACTTGGAAATTTGTGGCGATTGCAATATCTTGACCTTAATGCAAGATCGTATAGCATTTCAGGCGCGTTGGAGCTACGCGCTGACAGTCTGCACTGGCTTTCAGATCTGTCTTCTTTGAAGTACCTTAATATGGGCTATGTTAAGCTCAAAGATGTAGGGCCTGATTGGCTTCAAGCTATTAATATGCTTCCTTCTTTGTTAGAGTTAAACTTGCATTACTGTGAACTTGATAATATTCCACTTTCACTTTCTTCCATCAACTTCACTTCTCTTTCTGTTCTTGATTTATCAGACAACTCTTTCAATTCTGCAATTCCTCAATGGTTATTCAATCTTACTAGCCTTACAAGACTTTATCTTGTATGGAACTTTTTCACTGGTCCAATTCCTGGTGAATTTGCTAGACTAAAATCTTTGGAAGTTCTTGATTTATCCAATAATTTGAACTTTGGAGGTCATATCCCTAGTTTTCTTGGTAATCTAAGTAAGTTGAAGGTCTTAGATCTTTCTGCTAATGGTTTAACTGGTGAAGTTCATGAGTTTTTAGGTGGTTTTGCGGATAATCAAAACAACAGCTTAGTGTCATTAAATTTGAACTCTAATTCATTAACAGGAGAAATGCCTGAATCATTAGGTGTGCTTAAAAATTTGCAGCATCTTCACCTTTCAGGAAACTCTTTTTGGGGTTCCATTCCAGAATCTATAGGAAGATTGTCATCTTTAAAGGAATTGGACCTTTCTTATAACAATATGAATGGGACAATTCCTAACAGTTTTGGTCAACTCTCAAAGTTAGTGAATGTAGACCTCATTTCAAATTCCTGGGAAGGCATTTTGACAGAAACCCACTTGATAAATCTCAGAAGTTTAGAAAATATCCGTCTCACGACCCTCCCTACTAGGTCTTTGATCTTCAATGTGTCTCATAAGTGGATTCCTCATTTCAGGCTCAAATCCATCCAAATAGAAAATTGTGTAATAGGTCCTTTCTTTCCTATGTGGCTTCAAGTTCAAAATGAACTCACCTCTGTCATTCTAAGAAATGTTGGAATCTCAGATACTATACCAGCAGAATGGTTTTCGGAACGATCTTCTGAAATCACTTACTTGGTTCTGTCAAATAATCAAATCAAAGGAAAACTGCCAAATCAAATGAAATCTCCAAATTTAAAGTATATTGATCTGAGTTCTAATCATTTCGAGGGTCCTCTTCCATTTTGGTCTACAAATGCATCAACTATTTACCTTCAGGACAACTTGTTTTCAGGTTCTATACCTGAAAACATCGGTAGCCTAATGCCAAGGCTCGAAAAGTTATATCTTTCTTCAAACCATCTTTCTGGTACAATTCCATCATCATTTTGTGTTATGAATGGCTTGCAAATTCTTTCCCTTAGAAGCAACAAGCTTTCTGGACAGATTCCCAACTGTTGGTCTCATCAGCTAATGTTCTGGGCTATTGATGTGTCAAACAATAATTTAACAGGCAAAATCCCAAGTTCATTTGGTTCCTTATCCTCCCTCAGTGTCTTATTGTTGAGTAACAATAATCTTGATGGAGAGATTCCTTCATCATTGCAAAATTGCTCGGGATTAACGAGTGTTGATCTTCGAAGAAATAACCTGTCAGGAAATTTACCTTCTTGGATAGGAGAAAGGTTTGCTTCCTTATTCATGTTACAACTTCATTCAAACTCATTTACTGGAGAAATCCCCAAAGAAGTATGTAATCCCAACAATCTTCACATTTTAGACCTTTCAGACAACAAATTTTCAGGTGCTGTTCCAAAATGTATTGGAAACCTGACAGGAATGGTCAGTGGTAAGTACAATGAGGTTTTTCTACAACTACTAATGGTTGCATTGAAAGGAAGAACACTTGAATATAACAACATTTTTGCAGCAGTTAATGGAATTGACCTTTCTAGAAATAATCTAACTGGAGAAATTCCTGATGAGGTAATAAACCTTCATGGGTTGCGATTCTTGAACCTGTCAAGAAATCAGATAAGTGGAAAGATTAATGAGAAAATTGGAGAACTTACAGACTTGGAATCACTTGATCTGTCATATAACCATCTTTCTGGGCCGATCCCTCAAAGCTTGGCTACTTTGAATTCATTGGTGCGGTTAAATTTATCCTACAACAATTTGGAAGGAAAAATTCCTGAAGGGCTCAAAAAGTTCAATGATCCATCAGTTTTTGTTGGTAATCCTTCATTGTGTGGAACCCCTCTTCCTAAAAAATGTCCAGGAGGCCATAGATTCTCATAGACCAAGAGAGGAAAATGATTATGAAATGGCTATCTTTCTTTATTATCATATCTTTTTTTTTTTTTTTTTTTTTTCTTTATTACATATTTTTTTTTTTTTTTTTTTTTTTCTCATCCGCAAATGAACATTGAATAAAAGAAATATTAAAGGTTGTATATTTAATGAAAAAGGTTGTAAAATACATATCTCAAAATCACTTTTTAGCTTTGTTTCAAAGGGAAAATTATTAAGAGGAGGCTGAAATCGTCAGTCTCTAATCACTAATGAAGTAATGATGAACCATCTAGATTAGCTAGTAGCTTTCAAATCACGGGATAAACTCATTTGCTTAATTAAAATTTTTCATTTCTAATATTATATTATGGACTTTAATTTGTTTAATTATTTTTTTTTTTGAAAATGAATTTGTTTAATAAATTATTTTGGTGAGGCCCTTAGGTCCCCCTTTGTCAGTGCTTGGCATAGAATTTTAAATAGAAACGTATTTACTGATTTGGAGTCCAAGAGAGGACCCAAGATATACAACTTAGGCAAAAAAGCTCTACATACAACTTTCTTTTAAAGCAGTTTGTGATATTTTAGAGTGTATTAAATTATTTTTTAAAATGGTAAATGCAATGAATATAAATAATGTGCAAAGCACATTCAAAGTACTAATTATTTTTATAAGGATGAAAGATATAAGTTAAATATCAGAAATCAGAAGAAGTAAGTCACGTGGAATGGGAAGTTTTCAAGGACTTCAATACAGCCAGAATCTTAAAGGCTAATACTTCAAATTAATGACAAACTAAAAAATTTAGAATATATAAAAAATAATTTTTTTAAGAAGATTTACATTTGTTTTAGGTAAAGATAGTGGGAATTAGCTTTTTCCCGTAAATATTAATACTTGCACATATGGTATATAACAAAAGTTTAATTTAAACAATTTATTTAATCTCATTAGAGCAATTTGTACTTTAAAAATATTTAATAATAAAACTGTAAAATGAATAAAGAAAAAGTTTCAATTTGCACCCTGGGTCAAATGTAAAAAAAACCCACAAACGAACTTTTCGATAAAAAAACCCTCGAATTTAACATTTTATTATCATTTAGCCAATTTTTCATTAAAGATTTATGTGCGTACAGCAAGTGTCAATAATAAAAAATAAATGAATTAAAAATTATTTTCCTCTAATAAATAATAACAGCAACATCTCCTTAGCCAAAATAACCAAAACTGGAAGCTATTTTCCATGAATTAATATCTGAAACAGAATAAATAGTTGATAGATTCATAACCTGTCACATCTCATATTTATTGATCAAATAATTAGGATGCAACACCAATAAAGTTTTGAAGAAACAAATATGGCAATTCCAAAATTTGCAGCAATTTTTTATTCCATAAACGAAATAGTTACATTATCATGCTGAAACCAAAGCGTAGTTTTGGCAAACTACAGCATTTTGTTAAAATTCCTAAAGACAAAAGCTTCACTTCAACAAAATCTTCTCAAATTGTAATTAAAATCAAATCCCATAACTACTTCAATTTAAAATGATTATTATCAACACAGCTAATGTAAAGCACAAAGCAAACACCAACTAGAACTCCCTTCTCTTTACCCTTTCATACTCCTTCCTTTGTTGTCTCAACTCCATTATTAATGATCCCATCTCCCATCTATGGTTCTTGAATTAGGATTTCATAATAAACTTTCGATGCATGGTAGGGAGGGAAGTCTTTAGGTTTGATTGGGACTTCAGCTTATTAATCACATCTACAGCTCTTTGCTCCATTTTTTCGTCGTGTCATTCAAAGAAGTAACATCACTTTCGGCTATAAAACCAAAAAATTTTTTTAATAAAGATTCAAGAACAAAAGGATGATAACAAAGATTGAAAAGGGTATGACAAATATCACTTGCTTATTGATAAATTAATGACAAAAGAAGTTGATTAATAGAAAAAACAAATTCGCATTCACCTTTAAGAATCTGCAGGAATAAAATTTTCTACATGTGTTCTTCTCGCTCTAAGAAATCCAACAATGAGCCTTTAATCAACAAGCACAGTATGACTCGCTTCCTTCTACTCTCTCCCTTTCCTTCTCCAACTTAGTAGATTTCATTCTGCAAATGATAGATTTAGAGATTTAAGTTTAAATTTGATTATTTTAGCTAAGGAGATGTTGCTGTTACTGTTTATTAGAGGAAAATAATTTTTAATTCATTTATTTCTTATTGTTCGACCGCGTGCTGTACACACATAAATTTTTAGTGAAAAATTAAGCTAAAGTGATACTAAAATGTTAAGTTCATAGGTTTTTTTTATTCAAAAGTCCATTTGTAGGTTTTTCATACATTTGACCCAAGTTCAGTGTGCAAATTGAACTTTTCCGTATGAATAACTATTATATTCATTAATTATCATATATACAAAGCAATCGACGTTTTAAATGTTCGCTTTTCATTTTATCTATTGGAGAGTATTTTTGAATCATAATTATCTACATCATTACCACTTATAATACGGATTATTACAGGTATTGAAGTTTGATTTGTCACTGTACTTGATCTTATTAATTTTCGTGTATCGAAAAAAAGTTGATTCTGAATTTAAATTAATAAAATTACCGATATTTCCTTTCAAACCGCATTTAATTCTTTATTTTTTTTTCATTCACAAATAGTGTAAGACCTGTTCCCATTACATGAATATACTATGTAATCACAAACAAATAGAATATAAAAATTCAATTACATCCAAAATTGTATTTAAAGTGCACACCAATGCATAGTTCAATGGTAAGTGCATATACGATTTGACAAAACTACGTTCAGTGTCTTAACAAAACTACTTAAAAAATTGTTTCCAATCACAACAATAGTGATAGATAATTCTCTAATAAATTTATATTTGATAGGTCATATAAGATACACAAATGAATTTAAAAAAAAAAAAACAAAATTAGAAAACAAAGATCACTTTATAACTTCAAATATCATTTATAACACCGATTAAACAAAAGTAACAT